TTTGGAACCTAATATGGCGTTTCATCACGGCAGAGTTTAGCTGAGTTTCTGCTGGTAGACAGCCTTCTCTTCACAGAGCTAACTGCTTGCATCGGGACGCTCCAAAGGGGCATGGCCAGCAGCAGCTCCCAAAGGGTGTGGCCACAGCAGCTCGGTTACATTTAAAGGGCCAGACCTAGAATCAGCACTTTAGTAACAGGGCTGAAATAGAGGTGTATGAGCAGAGTTGGGTGTAACGCGTTGCTGTAATAATATTACTTTTGTCGGTAACCGCGTAGTGTAAAGCTTTTATAATTCAGTAATCCCACTACAGTTAATAACATTGCCGACACGTTTTACTTCGTTACTTTTATAAAATCAGTAATCACACTACAGTTAACCTACTAACATACAGAATGACTAGATTCTCCCTTTGACAGACAAGAGGGATTTCCGCCGCAGGTTTATATTTACGTAACATTAGCGCGACTTGCAGATGCAGTGCATAAACATGGCTGAGTCAACAGCGATAACTTTCGAGGGGTGGAGGTATGCCCATTATTTTTGAGTTCGTCCGAAGAAAGGACAGGAATGTGACGGTGAGGTGCAAACTGTGTCCAGGCCAGAAGCTGTTATCCACTGCTGCAAACACAACGTCAAACCTCAACAAGCACCTGCAAAGACAACATGCTAACGTGAAGCTAATAATATTAAAATAAAGCACAATAGGTGAGCTTTAATACCAACATTTTCTGTCTTATAGCTTGTGGTGGATGACAGTGTTGCCATGACGCCCTTCTACCTGTTGCTGGGGAAACATCGCCAACAGGAGACTGAAGACGCAATGAGCAGCAGCCTGTCCTCTGACACTGTGCCTCAGAGCTCTGCTGCCATCAAACAGGTCTGTAGTTCAGCGCAGTGTGTCCACTCAGTGTCCTGCAACTTGACCTTTTTTTTTTAAGTGCACTAAAGAGAGCTTTCTTTGTTTTCAGCTGCTGCAGACCCCGGCTCACGTCATGCCCCCCACCTCTTACCTCTGCTCCATGTTTGTGCAGTCTCTGCTCATCTCCGTCACAGACACCAGGTCAGAGATCCACTTAAATATTCCTAAATAATGAATAACAACTGAAGCACTGAATGATTATTTGGGTATTTTTAGAATGTTAATATTGATTGAGTGTAAATATGAGTAAAGAGGACTTGTTTTTCACCAACCTCAGCACTGTGGATCCAATGTCAGCATGAGTTGACAAAACGCAGCTTGAATTCATGCTTGGCATGATTCAGCAACTCGAGGATCTTTCTAAAATGTTGTACTTGGGCAAATGTGGACTCTTGTTTATCTCTGAAAATATGTAGAGTCATGTAAACGTTTAATTTGTTTCCATTTGTGAACTCTTGGTCCCAGGGAGGAAAATAAACATGCAGAGGAGAAAATGGATAGCGAGAAAGAGGAAGAGGATTCAGAGGAGGAAATGGAACCCAGCAACCCGAGACCACAACAGGCCTCGGAGGGGGGGCCTGAAGCCCCCGCTCTGACCAAAGCCCAGCTCAGGGAACTGAGGAGGGTCAGGAAACAGGACCACAGCTGGAGTGCAGGCTTCCTGTAATGAACACGAGCCTGCACAGAGACACTCACACAGACCGCTGCCTGTAGAAAGTTTTCATCAATGTGTTTTATTGTTACTCAATTAAATCAGAATGCATCTCCCCTGTTAGGAAATATTTTGGCAAGAACAAAACAGAAATATCTGATTGCATAAGTATTCACTCCTTTAGAAGCATAAGCAGAGGTTCTGTTCAACACGTTTTTGGTTTCATATTTGTATTAAGAAAAAATTAGTTTAACAAAATTAATCACAGTCAATAACTAGGTAATAACACAAATTACAATAATATGAGATGGAAAAGAGGTGGGGATCATGTGTGAACAGCAATTTCTCCAATGAACTCTGGACTGCATTGAGGTCTGGACTCTGCCTCTCAGAATGTTGACAGCAGTGCAGCTTTGACTGTTGGACTTGTCACCCATATAGTCTGTAGGACTTCCACATTTATCAGTAATTTGAAATCTTTTGTGAAACTGCCACCATTTGTGATGCTTGCAAACTTCACTTTTGTAATCAGCTCCCAGGTACTTGCTTACTTAACAAAAACATAATCACAAACCACACAAAGCTCTTTTTAATGCCGTGCCTTAATTGAACACCATTTCACCTCATGCGTATTCAAACTACTGGCTGCACCAGTATACATGTGTGTATCGCTGTAAAGGGGTTGAATACTTATGTAATTATTTATTTAGAACTTTTTTTTCTACTTTAACTGGGATGTTTTTTTTGTGGGTTTTGTAAAAATGTCGTGTCCACTGAGATTCTTCGACAAAATCAGAGAAAGGGCAAGGTAATCACTTTCTATTAGCACTGTTTGTATTCAAACACATTTTCTATAAATGTAATAAAAAGATGCATTCATAAAGCTTTCTGCCTCGTCCATGACTTTCTAAACGAGAGCCAGAGACCAAACTCACAGCCTTTTTCCACCGTCATGTATGTGATGTAATTCAGACGGGAAGGTTGCTCTTTAATGACAATTCACAGCCTGTTTTATAAGTTAACTGTGACACACAGTCGGACTGCTGCTCTCAAAAACAATTAGGATCAGGTATTGACGTTAAATGAATTAAATAAAAAAAAAACAATGCATAATTATTACATATTGTTTGAATTGACGCCCTGAAATTCATTCCATGGTATTTCATATTGCAGCTTCTGTTGGGTTCTTGGAAATCTTCCACATAAGCTATTGGTGCTGTAAAGTCAGGTCGGACTCTTGAGTAACATCTTAAAGTCCTGAGTAAGCTGTCCCTGAGGAGAAGGTCACGTTTAGTGTCCATGATTGGATAAGAACGCGCACTTTTATCTCAGCATGTTTCAGTTCCTCTGTATCAGGCGCGCCGACACTAAGCTTCCCACCACAAGGACGGATCCATCATGCCCTGTCACCATATCTGCGTTTGACAAGCTTTGAGCTTTAGTGGTCAAACTAGGTCACTTTATATGCTTATCAAGTCCTAAAATGTTCATCTGTCACTTTTATTGACTTGAGTTTATTGACCCATCTAATTTGTCATGGTACACTTTACTTCTCCTGAAATGTGCCTTAGGGTGAAAAAGAGAAACCTAATAACCAAACCCTGCAACTTCTTTATTCACTACCTACTTACATTTTCCACTGAGCAAGGCACCACACAACAGATCAACTGAAATATGAATAAATAACAGATTATTCCAGGTTCTGGGATTAAAGCTAGAATTTCTGTGGCAGTTGTTTTATTGGCTCCACCTTATTCCTATACTTGTATCAGCCAACGTAGCCTGAAATTGCTAGTTTAAGGCAGAGATGAGGAGCGGTAAGAGGCTGACTGTCTTTTTTTATTTTTTATTTTTTATAAACCCATACATATGTTTCTGTTGACCCAGCTGACACGGACTCAAGTGACATCTTTCCCTTGAAGCCACAAAAAGGTTTCATACATGCTGTTTCATATAGTTCTACCCAACACCTTTGATATACTTTGACATGGTTAGCTAGCATGTCCACTCATGAAAACAGCGGTTTCAGTGATTTACTGCACTATTTCTTGGCTGGGTGTAGTGACTTCCAGGTGTCTTGCATTGGTGAGGTAATCAGGCAAACAGACTCCTGGAAGTGAGTTAGAAATGTGCAGTATAGCCTATGTTACATGACTGACTTGTGATGTTGAGCAATGCCTGAGCTTCTAACACCTGACTCCCTATCAGCAATTGTGTCAGTTAAACATTATTTCTGATTACACCTTGGACATTACAGTTAAAAGCTTTTCATGGGAGCTCCGGCTTCAAAGAAACAAGTGAACACGAGGCCTTGACATAAAGTTCTGACCAAACATGCACATGTATTTTGTTAGAGAATCTTCCTTCCTGTGAATGCTCATAGATCAGAGTTTACTAGAGATGTGGCACATGGAAGATATTTCCACTGTGCGCACTTGTCGAGTCCCTGTCTGTAGCCAATGGACTAGTCAGCTTTCTTTTCCCTCTCAAACATGCGGTTCTTCAAAAACCAACGGGGGCCAAAATGGCTTCTGTATGGTGTTGAAGGTTGAAACTGACTAATCCTGCAGTCTTTAAAACAACACATGCTAAGTCTACAACACATAGTGCATTTCATACCTACTGCAGATTATGCTCTTAAATCTAATCAGTCAAAGTACATTTAGAGTCTAAATTATTTAAAACAAAACAGGATATGCAAGTAAAGCAGTAAGGTGCTGCTGGACAGATCACGATATGTATTGTTAGTACAAAGTTGTATTTTCTTGAAGCTCCTCCATCACAGACATCATTCCTCATTTGCTTTGTGGTCTCGTTTTTTTGTTCTTTAAAGGCTGTTGAAAGCTGAGATGTTTGGGTATCAAATATCTAATGCTGGGACATTTAAGACTCAAACAGACTATTATATTGATGAGCTGCTGGACTGATTAGCAGTGCTTTGGTATTTGGTGTTCCATAAACCTTTCAGTGGTAGAAACTCCGGATAGGACCATCCCAAAATGCTCACGGTTCAGATATACACACAGAAATGAACACAACATGCTGAGTCATAGCCTAGACTCTTAAAAGCACTGTTTGTCTTTCAGGAAGTCCAGATCATCCAGCTCAGCTTAGAGTCGGGCCCCTGGAAGAAAGGCATTCTGGGGAAGAATTAGCAGTTAACTCTGCTGTGGTATGTGGTATGTGATATCTACAGGACTGTCTCAGAAAATTAGAATATTGTGATAAAGTTCTTTATTTTCTGTAATGCAATTTAAAAAAACAAAAATGTCATACATTCTGGATTCATTACAAATCAACTGAAATATTGCAAGCCTTTTATTATTTTAATATTGCTGATTATGGCGTACAGCTTAAGAAAACTCAAAAATCCTATCTTAAAAAATTAGAATAGTTCCTCAGACCAAGTAAAAAAAAAAAGATTTATAACAGCAAAACACAATCAAACATTTGAAAATGTCCATTAATGCACTCAGTACTTGGTTGGGAATCCTTTTGCACGGATTACTGCATCAATGCGGCGTGGCATGGAGGCAATCAGCCTGTGGCATTGCTGAGGTGTTATGGATGCCCAGGATGCTTCAATAGCGGCCTTTAGCTCATTAGCATTGTTGGGTCTGGTGTCTTTCAGCTTCTTCTTCACAATACCCCACATATTCTCTATGGGGTTCAGGTCAGGGGAATTTGCAGGCCAATCGAGGACAGTAATGCCATGGTCAGTACACCAGTTACTGGTGGTTTTGGCACTGTGGGCAGGTGCCAGATCATGCTGGAAAATGAATTCCTCATCTCCATAGAGCTTTTCAGCAGACGGAAGCATGTAGTGCTCTAAAATCTCTTGGTACACAGCTGCATTTACTCTGGGCTTGATGAAACACAGTGGACCAACACCAGCAGCTGACATGGCTCCCCAAACCATCGCTGACTGTGGGGACTTCACACTGGATTTCAAGCAACTTGGATTTTGCTCCTCTCCAGCCTTTCTCCAGACTCTGGCGCCTTGACTTCCAAATGAAATACAAAAACTTGCTTTCGTCTGAAAAGAGGACTTTGGACCACTGTGCAACTGTCCAGTGCTTCTTTTCCTTAGCCCAAGTCAGACGCCTCTTCCGTTGTCTTGAGTTCAGAAGTGGCTTGACCATGGGAATACGGCTATTGTAGCCCATTTCCCGGACACGTCTGTGAACAGTGACTTTT